AATTACTCGACGAAAATTTCATCGCTATTACCTGTTCCGTATTTCTATTCGCATTGCATCGATATATGCATTCACAAATGTGGATTTTTTGTTCTTATTGTTATGTTTATAGATTAATTTTATTGCTATCGCTATTCTCTTGCATTTTGTAAAACCCGTATCAGACGACGTATTAAAGATTGAGATTAAAGATTGAAGATTGAAATTTGACGTATCAGAATAAAGAACTTTTAGTTTCTTTTGTTTCAATTGGTCAAATTTCAATCTTTAATCTTCAATCTTCAATACGTTGTCTGATACGCGCTTAAGGGTCTTAGAGTTATAACGCGCAAATTCCGTGTAACAATGAACATAGACATAACTGATGTAGAGTCTGTGATCGAGTCCTGAGAATCAATCATTGACGGCATTTCAGCAATTCGCAACACGTTTGTTTCTGAGATCACTGTTTCCTACCGAAAAATTCTCGTTCAACAGTAACGAGTCTTATCAGAGACAGTGAACGATAAATAATGAACAAAATCAATCGTGTTTTTTTTATTGGATTGCAGAAGCACACATGAGGTAAGTAATAAACATTTTTTATAAAATTTTTGTTCTCAGTCTACTTGAATAGTGAGAAGAGTGATTCATTTGATTTAGCAAAATGTGTTGCTAAAAAAATAATTATAGAGCAAATTAAAATATAAATTCTTTTTTTTGTATTTTTTTTAGATTACATAACCATTAAAATGATGCTCTCAAAATAGTTCAGACAGCACCCATATCCAAAATACACTCAAAGAAAATATCCAGAAGATATCCTATCATCCCAAAAACATTTTCTAGACGTTTTTTTGGTATGCTGTGCGATTTCATGAGAGATGTTATCATTTATCTCTATTCAAAATAGTTTATGATTATTTTTTATATACATTGTAAGAAACATTTAATTTTGTTTTTATTTATGATTTAAAAATGAATTCAATATTAATCATAATATAAATATGTAATACTATATCATTTGAATCATTTTCTTATGATAGTTAAAAATGTTTTTCAAGTTTTGAAAATGTAATTAAAAAATATTTTTTATAGGGTATTATGGATTCACAAATTAAATTTGCTAGTGTACGTTATTTCAATGATGAGAGCAAAAAAATCCACATTATTTCTATTGACAAAATAAAAGATTTTACAGTTCTGGATAAGTATGAAGATCCATATTTTGTAAAAAGACTGAATACTATAACCAATGAAGAAAGTTTGATCGCAGCTCAAATTATGGAAGTAGGAAGTATGTACAAAATTTATTCTTATAATAACTTTTAATTTTAAGTGAAAAGTTAATACTTTTCTTTTTTCTTCAAATCTTTTGCGGTATTCTTTGTTTTCTTTTAAAACTTTTTTCTACAAACTGATTTTTTTCATTTTTTTTAAATTTTGTTTGTTATACTCCATTCTAGCTTGGTATTATGTATGTGTTATGTAAAAAGATTCTGTAATTTATTTTTTTGTAGCTTTGATATTACTTTCTCTTATAACAATAATTGTATTATTCATTCTAATCTTTTACTGAATACATCTAATAAGTATTTCTTCTTTTCAGCAAATAATGTGATTTTATTACGTTTTTACTAATGTGTAATTCTTTGCAGCTAATGAAGAGGACTTGAAACATAACAAACAACGTTATGTCTTTAAAAAAATGCGCTACAGTGATGCCGTACAAAAAATATTAGATAAAAAAGAAATATTAGAAAAAGAAAATCCAGAGCCTAACGAAACTCAAAAAGAAACGGTAATATTTCAATCACGTATTGTTATAAATTTTTACAAACATTTAATTGTTTATTTTAATTATAACTATTATTTTAATTATAGCTAGTATACTATTATTTTTATTTTATTTATATAATGTACATATTTTATGATGTTCAAAATTCTTAAAAATTATGAATTTTTAAGGAGTTTGATAATGAAAGAACATCGAAAGAAGGTGATGAAAATATAATCAAAGAGAAGTTGAAAGCTTCAAATCGTGACGATATAATATTTGAAAGGAACCGTGAAAAACTTTTTGATATTCCAATTGCTCTAGAAAAGAAAATTCAGTCTTTACAAGATGAAAACAAAAAATTACAATTAGAAAACAATAATTTGAAAAATGATATATTTTTTTTGAAAGAGAAACTTCATTCATTGAAAACAAAAAAACAATTATTTCCTGAAGGTAAAAAACATTAATTTTGAAAAAAAATTGTTTTTTTATTTACATAATTTTTATCAATGTTTGGCAATGTAATTATACAGAAATAAAGCGTCCGGCATCACCCAGCATAACCAGTACTCCAAAGAAGATGAGAAGTGAAACAGTTAATGTTCCCTTACAAGATGCTGTTTTCAGTGAACCTAGTACTTCTCAACTAAGGAGTGAGCAATCTTTATTGCAAGATGACTTTTGTATTAAAGTTTTAGCAAAAAGCAATAAAACAACTCAAAAAGCAAAGAGTAATAAAAAAAAACAAAGAAAGAAAGCAAAAAAAATAAAAAGTCAAAGAAAGATAAAAGAAAAAAATAAGAATAAAGGAAGTGACCTGGATTACGATTCTGATCAATATATTGGATTAACAGATAAAGAGAATATGACTACTTGGAACGACGAAGTAAGCGGAACAACTGTAAGTTTAGATGTAAAAAATGTTGTTTAAATTAAATTAAATTTAAGAGCTCCACAGGATGCGGAAACATTTGCCGCGCAGCAAAAAGCATCGTAATAGCCAATCAATTTACAACTCTTCCATAAGAGTGATCTTGATTCCAGCGTCGTTTTTTGTCGCACGGCAAGTGGTTCCGCGTCCTGTGAGCAGGAACTCTAAAGGCCGTATTAGATTACGCATTGAAAATTTAGATTAAAGATTGAAGATTGGGAATTTGATCAATCGGGAAGAAGCAAACAAATATTGCTTCTTCTTGATTAGTCCCAATCTTCAATCTTTAATCTTAATCTTCAATCCGCAATCTGATACGGGCTAAAGGCATTTTTAATGTATTCGCGAGAATGTAGCGATGTGTGCTTTCCGCACTTATAAACTCAATATTTTTATCTTGTCACGCACATCCTCGTAACGTATTTTTTGTTTTACTACGTAACTAGTTTTTGTTTTACGTTTTTGTACGTCGTTTTGATAAAAACAATAATTCTTTTGGAACTTATTTTTTTATTTTGGGAACTTAAAATTTAAGAAATATATAATGTGTGTTATTAATTAATAATATTATTAAAGAAGATTAATTAAAATTTAAGTATTTAAGAAACATACAACTTAAATATAAGTTGAAAATTATTAAAATTATTTTAAATCTGTATTTATAAGTTAATTCAATAACGATAATTATTAGAATAATTTCTAAAACAATAACAAAAATTTTAATTCCTTTTTTTTTAGATTAAAATGATGCACTTGAGGTACGGTATCTCAATACCGTATATAACATGGAAAGAAATAAAGAAGTTGAAAAGACCTTCTTTATTTGTTAGACAATTGAGCCGAGCACTTTGGGGAGTGCACAAATTGATGAATAGAGCTGTGTTGTTGGAAAGAAGTAAAAATAGATTGCCCAACCGATCCCCAAGAAAGCCACTAACACCGGTAAAAAAAGCTGTTTTAAAAAGTATGTATAACAGAAAAAATAATCACTTTGTAAAGAATTAGTTATTATTGGATTATTTTATTAATATCACTATTAAAGCTAAATCATTATAATACAGGTCGAAAAAACGTCTAATAGACATCTAATAGACATTTATTTGGCTTAATAGTGCTATTAATAACATTATCCAATAATAAAGTTAGGATTTCACACACTCGCATTTTTAATGTACTCCGTCAAAATGAGCGTAATATAAAAACTTATTTCATCTAGAATGCTATTCAGCTTTTATCGAAATGCACCACAAGAAAGAAAAAAAACAACTGATAAATAAATGGAGACGTTACTCTTGAGCATCTACATAAATTTTCTTATTGAAACAGAAATAAAAGGTAAATATTATTTTAACAACGTCAAGACAAATAATTTTTATCTGTTAAAAGGTAATCTTTTTTTGTTTCTCTTTAATGAAAAATTTGTAAAGGCAATTAATATAATGAAATTAACCCTTAAAGCATAGTAGTTTTTTCTAATAATAAGTAATAGATTTTTTTCTTTACTTTGTTCACTTAAAAAAAGTAATAAAATTGTGTTTACATGTAAAATATAGGACATTGAATTAAATAAAAAATTTTTTATATTTTAAACATTTTTTAGCATAGATGATTATAACAAATAAATAAACATTCTAGATTTTAGAGGAGAATCTTAGATCAAAACACCTTTCAGCAAATAAACACCAAACAATCAGAAAACAATATACTTCAAAAGTACTTAGTATTTAAAAAATAAAAAAATGTCTTAATAATAACAATGTTAAAAATGTTTTGCAGAAGAAAAACAAAGAAAAAGTATTTGCACATCATCCAACTCATCAGCGTCATCAAGTTCTTCACACAATAGCAATGATTCAAGTTCCAATGAATCATCATCAGATGATGACTAAAATAAGCTTATAATGATATATTAATCACGTTTTTATTTATAACATGTTATAAACAAATGGCGATAATTTAAGTGATACATTACATGTTATTTTTGAGACTTTCGTTATATAATAAAATGTTTCTAAACTCTTTGTGATGAAATTACATGATTTCGTTATGCGATTTAACTGGTCAAAAAAATCGAAAATAACATGTAATTAATTATGTGATTCAACATACAATTTAACGAAAATTGTTTACCAAAGAATGACGCAATTCTGGCTTAAACGCTAGTCTGAATTTTTTATATATGTTTTTTTGGTTTCACAATTGTTTTTAATATTTTTATGTGCAAAATGTTTTATTATAAAAGAAATGTTTTTATATAATTAAGATTTTGAACTAGTCAATAAGTAATTCATACTTTCATAATGTAATTTTATTACTACATTTATCGAGACTACATAATGCGTTTTCAAATGTAAGTAGTTTTATTTCTTATCTGGACAAAAAAAACGCAAAACAAACATGTAAATTATCGCATGCAAGATACTTTGGACCACATTATAAAACTAGTTTAATGTGGAAAGAAGAACTTGAATTATCAGATGAAAGTCGAACATATCGTAAAATGGTAAAAGAACGATGTTTGTACACATCATCAAGAAGAAATATGATTCGATCAGATAATTCGTATGCTGTAACAACAGAAGGAGATTTTATTCGCATTATAGAATTTATTATCGATATTCCAACAAGGAAAGAGTACACTATCTGTCATTTAGTGATTAAAGAAGATATTTTTAATAACAATTCTTTACCATTGAAAAAAGTTGTAAATATTTCTGATAATTTAATAATAAAAGACACTAACAGCATTGAAAGAGTTTGCGTTTTTATGAATATAGATAACATGATGTATATATGTCCAGTGCCGAATCTGTATTTTTATTAATCGTTTTTTACGTATAAATGAGAATTATGATGTTATAAACAAATGGCGATAATTTAAGTAACAGATTACATGTTTGGAGGCCTTTTTGTTATTTAATAAAATGTTTCTAAATTCTTCGTGATAAAATTACATGATTTCGTTATGCGATTTAACTGATGAAAACTGATGAAAACTCTTGAAAATAACGTATTAATTATGCAATTAAACAATTTAACGGGTATTTTCAATAGAGAATACACGCAATTCTGGCTTAAACGCCTGAATTTTTTGTATGTTTTTAGTTTTTATATGCAAAATGTTTTATTAAAAAAAAATGTTTTCATATAATTAAGATATCACAATGTAATTTTATTGCTACATTTATCGAGACTACATAATGTAATTCCATTACTACATGCAAAATTAATAAACATATCTAAATCAAAATTGTATATTTTTTCGTTTTTCTATTTCTATCATTCAGCTCTTTAAAATATGATTGCTATAAAATCACATGATTTTCTAACATTACGTGATTTTTCAAACCATGTAATTTTCAAAAATCATGTACTGATTTGGAACATTTCATTACGTGATTTACTTAGTCATTAATTACGTGATTTTGTTATGTAATTTTATCACTTGATTTTATCACGTGATTTTTTTCAGTAGGGAATATTGCTAACATTTAGCTATTCAAGTATTATCCTTATGTATACGTATATACAATATTATCTCTGTTAGAATCGAATAATTATCTAACCAATAATTATCGATAGAAATAATGTAAGTTAATAATAGTTTAAAATAAAAACCAAAACGTTTTCTAAGTGAATAAATTAAAAAATTTAATTTAATTTATTTGCGATGACCATTTTGAAGTGGCATATGTAGCTCTTTTTTTGTTTAATATACATATATTGCTATTCTTATATAAAAGTAAAACTCATTAATTCCATTCTCTTATTGTAAATGTATATGTTGATTATTTATCAAGTGACTGATAGCGTCGCTTTTAATTGCATTATTGCACTCAAAAAAAGCTGCGCGAGTAAATAAATGAATTGTATAAAATCCACAGAAGTAAATATGTATGCATTTATTCGGAATTTCTTTTTATTTCGGTTTATATCAAGTTTAGCAAAAAGAATTTAAAACTATCAATAATAAAAGAAAGACAATGAAAACTAATGGTGCATGTTATCGCATGAAAACATATATTTCTTACAAAGTACAAATAAACAAACGTTTCGGCCTGTATATCAGGCCATCCTCAGTGTAACGCAAATTCTAAACGCAAACTTAAAAACTAATCGTAAAAATTTGTTGAATTGTTTCGTTAATTAAGATAAAAAACTTTTTCCCGTAATTGTTCATGTTTTATTAGAATTTAAAACATTGTTTTTAATCAAAAATTCAAATATTAAAATTTATTATTATTAATAAATTATAAAACAAGTTACTAATACACAATTTATTCTTATTTTCAAATTATTTCAAATATATTCTTGATGATTTTTATAAGCAACATAACATGATACTGCGTAAAATTTTTTGACAATTCAGTTTATTCACATTCACAATTCTTTAATTTTCTAAATCTTCTACAATTTTTAGTATTTTAAAATAAAGAAATAAATAAATTGAATTAATTCTGGCAAAATGTCAAATAATATATCTAATATTATAAGCAGAAGTTTTATCAGGGGTAGTTACATTTGAATGATCTCACTAACAATAATAAAAGCATAGGAAGTCCGATACATTAAATGCATAATTTAAACTCAAAATACTAAAATTTATTGACATCAATGGATTACCAAATAAAATAAGGAATTGGAAATTTATTAAATAAGAATACATTATCGATAACAATATTTACAATTGATTAAGTCAGCTTTAAATATTTTTCGGATATCCACGTGCTTTTGCCTCTTTAAACAAAGCTACGAGAGAATCCATAGTTTCTTCACCAGTCGGAATAATCTGGTCGGGAGGCAGCAAGAAACCGTAACGACCCCGATCGCGTAATTCGTATGTGTAGGAGATTGGTTTACGAAGAACGCCTTTGACGTAATCTACAGTACTTCCAGTAGCAATATCTAGAAGTAATTTAAAATATTAGAAGAGTTATGTCTTGCAATTATGTTTATTTTAAATTCCAACCATTAAATAAAATTATATTATAACTTAAAATAGAAATAAAAAAAAATCTTTAATTCTGAGAATGATTATAAAATGTTTAATTATGACTGATAAGATAATACGATAAGTAAAATATGTTGAGATATCTGTATATAATACTTACAAATCGTCTCGGCAATATTTCCAGTCACATATTCAGTTCCGTATCTCTTTTTGAGAGCTGCAATTGATTTCGAACCGATAGCCAACTGAAATCGCAAAGATTACAGAAGATCTTGTTACAAAAGCATTCATCATGTTTTATCATTGTGATTAATTTAAGTTATTAACACTTGTATAATGCTTAAACTTGACAAGACCATGATAATTAAATTTGAAAGTGGATTAATAAGAAAAGATTTTAAACTACAAGAATGCATTGCATGAGATTTAAATTGTCAAGGAAATCAAATCGACATATAATTAACCCGTCTCGTTGATATATCTATAGAAAAAATTAATATTTCGCTTTTAATATGCAGTCAATCGCTTTCATATTTAGTTTTGTAATTTGAATAATAATTTATATTATTTTATTAAAAATATAATGACGATGGTACACAAATGCAATAATTGTTACATCAATCTAAAAATTATTATGTTTTTATCCAAAGTTAAAAAAAATAATATTATTTCTAATTCTAATATTAAAATTTCTTACCAATTCATCGTGATTCTCAAGATGTTCCCTTGTGTGGCCGTAAGGAAACATCAAAAGCTGCGAATAACTGTGGAACGAGATGTACGCGTAGAATTTGTCGGAAATAGATTTGATATATTCAGACAAGCTCTTTGTCTCTATATCTGAGAACGGTGCACTTCCAGCATAAGTTTCATCGCATGGGTTGCTGCTGGCACCTCCAGCTACGAATGTCGAAATACAATGATGTTAATAAACGTCGAGCCAATTTTATTTTATGAGTTCTCTAAAATTCTTAAAAAATAATCTAAATTCTCATTTCTGTTGTAAGTCATTACAATTTTTTTTATAGAATATGAATAACTTACTTCTCCATCTGTAGTCCCAGTTCCTGTTGGGATCGCTGCCGTAGCAGAGAACACTGTAAGGCTTACGTGTCTTCCTCCATAATCGATTCTGAAAAAAGTCGAAGAAACCGATTGATTTGCATCACAATTGAAATATTTGTGTTTAATGCTATGAGATATCACAAAACGGCGCTTATCTTACCTTGGTGTGAGTATACACGTATCCGTCGGGATTGAACGAGGGGAAGATGTACCAGTCGTGGCTCTCGGCCAGAGCTCTCACGTCCGCGTCTTTGCTAGTCAGCAGTTGTTCCAGAATGAACATGACGGTTGCGGGCGAGATCCATTCCCTAGCGTGAATACCACCCTCGACGAAGATTCCCGGATTGTTTGCCTTAAAGGAGACCTTGACGCCTTTGATCTGACGTCCCTCATACGTTTTGCCACCCACGACAACCTGCACTTTGTTGGGATGTTCAGCGGCCAGCTCGTCCAGTCGTTTGTAAATTACGTCAAGAGTGTGGTAGCTGGTAAAATCGAACGTCCTCGATCGGCTGAGGGATGTCGTTTCTTCAATTAATTCCTGAACGTCATCGATGCAGATCTGATAGGGTATATTGACCTGAGCCATTGCATCGTAAAATTCTGGCAGTTTGTGCGGAGCGACCATGAGATCCGCCTGTTTATTCACGTAACTCGGTGCTTCCCAGAAGGAGAACTATAAAACAACAATTGTACACTTAATTAAAATTTCATTTTAAAGCTACTTAAAGATTATTCATTTCTTTAGGCTTATCCTTAATGTTTGTTAATAAATAATTTTGTAATTTATAAAAATAATTTTGTGCAAATCTCAATTGATAAGATTAATATATTTAATTATAATTTTTTTTTTTTCAAAGAAAGAATCGTGAACTCAATATTATTTGATACTTGTGTGTTTGCATTTCAAAATGTACTCACTCCATCGGAAACCTCTTGGAACTCGCGCAGTATTTCAACTTGAGCCTCTGTGGTTGGAATAATCCTGAAGACCTTGTAATTCTTAAAGGTAGCCTTCTGGGCCGCTGCCAGGCCCACAATCGTACACAGCACTATTATCTTCCACATGATGACTCTATGCAAACATATTTCCCATATTTTTAAGACATAAACTTCATGTTTAATTAATTTTTAACTATTTTATTAATTATTAACCGCGAAGATTATTTTTAGTTGTAACGCGTGACACTAACACATAACACTATTAACAACCTAATTGTTATCAATATTTAATTTGTGTACTTTAATTCCAAAATCATCTAATTCGAGAAGCTTACCTTTTGCAAGACAGGAGGATTTACGATTGTTGCTACTGTTTCGTTCATTATATTTAAACACTAGGTGCACACGGCACCAATGATCGATTCAGAACATTATTTCAGAAAAATCATATCCATCAATCAAACAGTGATCACGTTGGGTTTTACCAATCATCTATCGGATTAGCTTCGTAAGAAAGCTTCATCTTATCGCGCTTATCCTGTGCCACGCGTTCAGTGAGTATCAAGGTAACATTTCACAATTAGTCGTCTCATATGCCTTTATTAAATGTTTAATATTATATACATTTATAAATTTTTATTTAATTTAGGCTTAAATCCAATTCTTGCATATTATAGATATTAGAAAAGCTTATTTTTTTATTTATAAAATAATATTAGTATTGAAATATTACATTTAAATACATATTTACGGAAAACAGCAATATTTTTTTGCTATTGTATGAAAATAATGTATAAACTTGAAAAAGTCGCAATTTAAAAAAAAAATTACACTTTTAATATAATTCAATAATGCATATGTAACATAAAGAAAGTACTTGCAATATACATACGCGACACAGATGTAATAAGACAAAAAAATTATTATTGAATATCTACTAAATTTATTCTTATTTTAATAATTGTCGTAATATAAATTTTATTTTTTGAAAAACTTTTTTAGTTTCTCTCATAAAAATATTTTTCTAAAAATATAACGAAATTTTGCTGAAATGTATTTGAAAATTTCTCTCAATTGACCCCATTAATTAGTTTCATAAATATTTCAGCAATTTTTCATTAAAAAGTAACAGTTTTCAGTTTAATTCGGTAAATTTTATAATGATAATTATTTAAAAACTCTTGTTACTTTTTAGCAATATATTTTAACTTTCCTTATATTTCATAGTATTACATTAAATTTTCATACGGAAAATTATGATTTATTTTGAAATATATATATTCAGTAATTTTTCAAAAACTTTTATTTTACTTTTCATTGATTTCATAGTACTTTCAGCAAAATATTTCCATCAGGGTTGTGCTTATTTTTCTAGTTAAATAATTTAATATTATTGTTTTGAAAAAATAATGCTCGTGTTTCGTATTTTTTGTGTATTATATGTATATTTATATTTTTATTAAGTGCACAAGTCTATCATATCTCAAGTCTATCATTTTATCACGAAATCTCTACCGATTAATTATTGCGTGATTGACAGCGTGTCTTTTCAATCGAAACGGAAGCTAATCTAAATAAGTGATAAAAATTGATAAGAAGTTCTCATCACCTAATTATAGATGAAGATAATGTTTATCAAAAAATTGTAAAAATGCAGAGTGCTTCTACTGATTACAAAATCACGAATGCCGTATCTTTTTCCACGTGATTTAAGTACGCGTGATTTCTGATTATCTGTGTTCTCTGATTCTCTTTACAAACAAGTTTACAAATAATCTTATTGTTATTGTTAGCAAACTGCAAATCTTAACATTGCGATATGTGCATCGAATAAATGATCGAGAACACTCATTTGTGGAAAATAAATAAAGAAAAAATGATGGATTTTTATAGTTGAAAATAAAATGATTTAGTTGTCCAATTTCAAAACTTAAATCAGAAATCATACTGTGAACAGAAATTATAAATGTTTTTTTTCTACCTAAGCTATATATATACACCGATAATAACTGGTTGAATATCACCTGTAGTGTCTTCGCAGGATACAGAAGCGGAATGCGCCCTGGTGACTCGCCTCTCGACTTTTATACGTTATATGTACTGTTTTTACGGAATCATAAAACGTGAGATGCATGCAGAGTAAGGGAATATAGGTGTTGATTTACATATGCGGAATGAGTTATTTAGGAGTCGCCAGCACTCTACGCAATGTCCTAGATTCATTGTTTACCTTGATAAAATGCGGGTTTTTATCAGACGTAGTGTGGATACTGTGATTTAAAAATTAACGAGAACTTATTTAAATTGGCGGTAATTAAGCTGCTAAGAGTAGATAGGGTGACCTGCTTCAAGTAGATAGGGTCCACTGCTTCAAATAATTTGTGTGTTTTACGTTTGATGCGATATTTATTAATAATGCTTTACAAGAGATCTTCTTATTCATACCTCACGCACGAGTGTCTATAGGTCTGTAATAATAAACTAAAAATTTACATAATTATTTATCGCTTATGTTACGCAACATAGTATTATATATACAACGTGTTTCTGTAAATCATCTCTAGGATCACATTTGGTGAACAAGGGCCCTACAAATCGTCAACGTTATGATCACTGAAATGTTACACGTGTTATGCGCATTTTATACTCGATATACATGTTTAATTAGGAACGAGTTTAACAAGCGTCCGCAAAGTTACGCTTGATAAAACTGCAGTATCGTAAAAAACACAGCATTCAAATGCTTGGTTTACCACTGCATACAACATTCTTCTGCCAGCATCATACAGTATAAACTTACAAAATAATGCTCGTCGCTCAAAGGTATCTGTACGATCATAAATCAAAAACTCTCCCTAATCAGTAATATATATTATATAATATATAAAATATTGTATATATAATACGTATTACATATCTAATATATAAAATATTTGATGCATTATATATAATATATATGTATATATGTAAATATATTATTTAACGTATTATATGTATAATATATCTTATATAATATACAATTATGTAAAATATATTATAAACCGTTGATATTTATAAGGCAGTTTAACAATCGCCATTTTCCGCTCCTAATTTTTACAGTAAAATAACAATAGAGCCAATAGATGTTACGTTATCAAAATTTATTCGTTAATTTTATTTTCTCATTTAAAAATGTGATTTTACAAAAGAAAACATAATATTATAAAAAAATACAAAATAGATGTACAAATATGTATATTGAAATGCGTGTACAGATACCTCCAAACACGTAAGATCCGTACCAAAAATTTTCTTCGTGAAAAAACATCTCTGACCCGTATAAAGACAATCTGCTCGTAGAAAATGTAATTAAAAAGTGCATCGTATTCAACCGGTCGACTTTATAAATTGTTTTTATACAGTATAAAATATTTTGCAGGAGATGGAGAGTTTCGATCGCTCGAAACCAACCGGCATATACATTGCTGCGAAATTATAACTTGCTTACTACAAACGCGACACGCGTCTTGTAGACGCATATGCTAACAGGTGTAAGTTGTCTAACGGCTAAATCAAAATTTTACATCACAGTCTGCAGTTTGTTATGTGCCTCAAACAATCGATCGGAAGTGGATGTCTGCCTTTCCTAGACTACGTTTTAAGATATATATCCAATTAAATATCTTCTAAAAAATTATAAGATAAATAGAAAAAAAGAACAAAAAATGCATTATTTAAAATTTCTTAAAAATATATTTACAATGCTTTTGTATTATTGATTTATAAATACGTTAGATAACTTTTTTACAAATGAAATTCATAACGTGGTCTAGGATGAATCATCGGACATTACGAGCTACATGTTGCCTAGTAATGCAACACAATGCAACAGAAAATGCTTTCTGAATTAAAAATGCTGATGTGATTTGCAATATAACTAACGAGAAGACGAAATACATTTGACCATATAAAATTTAACATTACAATTATTCAAACGCAAAGCTTCATTATAAAACAAATTCATTATAAAACAAATTGTTATTAATTTTTTTTAGATTTGAAAACTTTTCTTTTTCTTTTTAAATTTATATTGTAAAACTCTGTTAAATCTTTTCACTATAAACACGTAGTAGATAGTTTGATTTTGATGTTCTACGCTTGTGCCATAGAAAACACACCAAACATTAAAAAACAGATGTCTCAAATCTGTGTAATTAATTTGATATGTAGTGCAGTTACGGCACAAGGAAGATTATCATTATTATATTTTTGGCCAATGTAACGTTTCATCCTCCTAATAGTCCTAATTGTTTCTCATACTTAAAGAATATTTCTGCAATATTTATCCTTAATTTGAATACAGATCTAATTTTCCCGTTAATTATTATCCATTATTAAAGCATCCTTTGCGCGCAGTCAGAAGATTTTTCTGAGTTCCCTAGAAAAGAACATGTAAAATCAGTCTCTTAACAAATTGTAAAGAATTGTGAATGCACATATGTCATTTTTATTATGAATTACCCAAACATTTCCTGATCCGTATCGATTGCTATAAATGAGTGATTTCCATTCCATGTGGAAGCCTGTGGCCTTGAGCATGACTCATACTAAGTTGCCTCGTCGCCATTCCACCGCCACACTGACTACTCCAATCCGTCGTAGGTATTGGCGTACGGTAGAATTTCGACGAAGTTTTATTAAATATTGGTAATAGCTCGTTCGCCTCAGTGGATAACGCCTGCAGATAAAAACCTTTGTTTAGAGACACCGTTCCTAAATCAAATGTATCTTCGCAAATGCTCGGCACAGAGAAATCTAAAGCGTTACCTTCAGATAAATAATGGCGTCTGTACCGTATCCCTCACAGCTAAGCAGCACGATATCACCGTGCAGATACCTAGCATATAGCCGAGACAATGGCAGACCGTATCCATATCCTGCAAGCGGTACCGTATGAGCATTGTCCGATTTGCTCGGCTGTGGAGCGGTACTATACATATACTTGAATAAATGGTCCATTTGTGAACGAGGAATTCCGCCGCCTCTATCAGATATCTGAAACAGTCGGATAAAATGATAGCGTGGATTCTAATCACTCTGAAAATCGAATTGCTCGCCACAAAATTTGTCGTACCTTCACACAGATGTCCTCTTTGCCGCGCACAAGCAAAACTTCGAGCGGCGGACAATTATCCGAATCTGATCCGTGATGTTCCATCACAGCTCTCATACTGTTCTTGAAGAGCTCGAATAGCATATGATACAAATGGCTCGGCACATAAATGATTCTAATTTCACTGCTTCGTTCAAATTCTGGAAAAATGAAAGGAGCAACGATTACAATCGAAATTTAATGCATTTTTTTAAATTCATTAATTTCCATCGGATGGTAAAAATATAGATTGTACGGTTAATAATGTAATTGCTCTATAATTAATAACGTATTGCTTTATAATTACTCCTATAATTTGTGGGAATAATGGTAACAACGTTTGGAACAATCTACTTCTATAGAAAATTGTTTGTTCCAAACTACTTACTCTAACGCAAGTACAATCAACTTTATTCAAACTTGCCATTATGTTGTTTGACTACCAATTCCGGGCTAGCCAAATAATATTGATCGCACAGAAAACGTGCGTTCTCGTAAGCATCTTTAATAACGCCGATCACGTCACAGGACGGATCTATACATCCCACATGTCTACTGTGCCCGTTTAATTGCCCACCAAAAAGAAGCGCTGAAACGCAATGAAAGGAATCATTAATGTAAAACGTCAATATGCCATTCATAGGTAAATTTGCTTTCAAAATGAACTTACTGTGCTGATTGATCAGCATACGAATGGAAATACGAGACATGAGAAATCTGTCCAGAAAATACTGAATGCTGTTCTCAGTCTGATTGTCCACGTCGTAAGACTCCTTCAGCTCCAAGACGCCCTGTGCCATGGTCTGGACGACATCGGTGTGCCTATTTCGGATTTTTATCAGAGCTTGACAGAATCTGCAAAAAGATTCATCGAAAGGCTCATATAATAATGTTATTTGCGCAACAATTTTTCGCAAAAATATCGTATCGTTCAAGAAAATGCTTAGTTCATATACTCACTTGTCTAAAGTGGTGTCGTTGACATCCGATTTCTCGAATTGTATTATTTCGTCGAAAGAAGTGACATACAAATTATTCACAATACCCACACTAGGCATCTTCAATAGATTATCCGGTAGCAAATGGATCTCTTTCATAATGTTGGCGAGACGTACTGGCAGTTCTTTCCTCAGGAATATAAAGGATTTCCTTTCGCAAGCGCTTAGACCTGAAAAATACATGATACAATTATAATCGTAATCGCAAACATTAATTAACAATATATAAAATTTAGTAATATTTTATCAAATTAATTCCTAACCGATATCATAATCAAAATAAAAATATAATAAAAATATATAAGCTTTAATGCTGGATATTTTTGCCAAAACTTTATTTTACTCGTATTGACAGCAAACATTTCGTAAAATAACGATATCGGAATATTTTATACAGAATAATAAAAAATAATTAATAGAATTTTATATAAAAATACGATTTAAATATCCTAATTTGTGAGAAACAAAATTTTAATAATTTAATTTCAACAATAAGTTTTATTCAATAAAAATCTTATTTTTTCGATCAATAAGTTTCTTTTTGCGGTTAATGGATTTTTGCGTTATGTCTTAATGTTTAGCAGTTATCAAAAAGTCGGCTGTAAATGCGAAAGCAGTTATCAAAACACACAAGTTTCGTTTTATATCATGTTTTTTTCATCTATCAGGCGCAAAATACATATTTGCGGAAATTAGAAGTGTCTTCCAGAAAAAAATAATAACTCATCGCTGTATTATCGCAAGAATACATATTCTCTCGGAAAGGAAACCGCAAGTTTGATGGAAGTTTTGCGGTGTTTTAATAAATAACTTAATCGGGTAAACAGCTGACAAAAGTCCGTCGAGAAAAAACATATGTATTTGAATAATTTATTTGAAAGAAATGAGATATACTTAACGTGTAGTTTTTAGTCGGTTTTAAAATCAGTTCGCCCCTAAGCAATATTTCGATATTATGCAAATTATTTTCGTGGCAAATCCAATCTAATCCTAAAATTCAAAGAAAGCACGCATCAGCAACTAATTATTTTATTTAAAACACTAATAAACCCTTAACGTTTATTTAAAACACTAATAAACCCTTTACGTTTATTTAAATATTTGTAATTAAATTTGGAAATTATTTTTACTTTATTTGTCACTTTCAACATGTATTTTTTCGACGGTTTTTGTAAAAACTGTGTGATCAATTCCCACATAAAGAAAACTTGTTTCATTTCGCAATTATTTAAATTCTTCATTGTTTTTAGCGACGGATGGGCGCCCCTTTCTCTTATGGCGTCCCTAGGCAATTGCCTATAATGCCTAGTGATAAAACCGACACTGATAACAACATAAACTCTTTCTATATACGCGATAAGAATAAGGATAAAAATAAAGATGGGATAAGGAAGGCAATTTTATCTAACTAGATAAAATTGTCTTCCTTAATTTTATCTAACTAGGCTTTTATCTTAGTACTTTATCACCAAAAAGTCCATTAATCGATACGGTACATATTTTGTTGATAATCAACCTGTTAATTTTATGAAAAAGCATACAAATTTCGCACAATAGGCAAAATTGCGTCGGTCGTATCCGTACTGTCGACTAAGTTGGTCAGCAAAGTATTAACATAATAAAGCAAAAAGTGAGTTTTTATTCTCCGCAGTTTAATACTGCCAACAAAGAGGCAAAATTTATGAATATTTGCATTTCATAATTGAATTAAACAAAAATATTTATTTATCTAATTAATTGGTGCAAAAATTTTATCACGGGATGAGAGAGAGCTCACATATTTATTTATCACTGTTGAATTTATAAAGTTAAATTTTTCCAAGTGGTCATAATTTATTTTTAAATATTAAAATATATTTTATTTAATTACTTTCAAATATTTCTAAATACAAATTTACGACAAATTAATGTAACTTTCTAAAATAGTTATATACATAAATTCGAGTATAAAAAGTTCAGAGGATCGATATTTTATGTTAATATTGAATAAATTATCATTGTATAAAAATTGTGTAAAAAATCTTGCATAAACAGATTGACATTCGAAAACTTATAAATATATAGAATATCTATTGCATAAAAAATAAAATTTATCTATAAACTGCTATGTATTATCTTGTCGCCTGTAGAAAAATCGATACAAACTTCCTGCAAACTGAACTACCTCCAGTAATCATACACTAACCTACTTAACAGCATGTCGCTGTCACTATTGACAAATATGAACTATAGTTATCCTTTGCATGTGTTTGTTCATACACAACGCACCATTGCAAAATATTTAATCGATCGATTACAAATTGTTAGAACAAAATTCAAACTATGAACAAGTTAAAATACATTAACAAAAGACTTCATTAATAAAATTCTTTTGTTTTACCTTAATTAATGTCTATTTATTGAAACTTTAAATATTTTTACACTTTATCAAATATATATATCACTAAGAAAAAACAAAATACACATAAAACAGTCGTTGTGATAGAAATGTCTATCGATCGCCTGTAAAATATTTGGTAGCGGCACGCTTGAGTAAATGTCGATAAATCGATTGTAATATCTCTTATCTTTCCATCGAAGAGAAAATTTAATTATTTACAGACATGCTTGAGACATGTTCCCGGGTGCGTGAGGCAGCGTGCTCTGAAAATAAACCTCGACCTCGTGAGCATATATTTGCAACGCGAGAAGATTGTTACTTGAGAAATCACGAATCTGAAAAATGTCCTACCATAACGATAGAGCATCTTAACAAATATCAAGAAAAGGCTACATAAAATGAAAACGTCAACATATTTTATCCTCAATAATAAAATATTGATATTGAGCGATCGTCAAATAGAATTTTAAATCGTGTTCATATTAATATCGCAATCATTATAGCAAATTATTTTTTAAAAAATGACAAAAAAAATTATATTTATTTTTAGTGATTCAGCAACTTTTTTAGAAACCTACTTGTTAAATTTATTATTTTCTATTGGAAAAAAATCAATATATATTTTTGTACAAAACTTTTCGCGCTTTCTCATAAAAATCTATGTTTAAGAATTGTGCCAAACAGATTAGATAGTACACTCACTAATTTTCCTTGTGGTGAGCGACTGATAACAACTATTTATCATGCAAAATGTAATCAGTGGAAAGGTTGGAAGCATCGAAGAGCCAACTATGATGGCCGTATTGTTCGTGTGCAATTTTAATCGAGCTTAATAAAGCAGTAAACTGCGTCGTCCTTCCTAAATGGCGAATTCACTTATTAGCGAAATTCAGTTTCCATCGTTCAATTGGATTAAATTTCGCGTGTGAAACAGTTTCACGGACGTGGGTTCTATAGTGTAAATTTCAAATATGGATTTTAAGTGGGCCGAGAAAATACACGATATCGCAGAGCGATGACGTAAATTGCGCAACATTTGAAATCTTCACACTGTTAAGCATGATGCTTGTAACGCGAGGACTCGTGGGCGTTGAATTATGTGTATCATGAATTCTCCGAAGAGGAATTGCACCTGGTTCCAGCGATTTACTTCCAAGTGTGATCAACTGAGAAATTACTAGGAAATTGAACGACCTTATCTGCCAGACGCAGATCGCGTTGCAGTAAACCATTTATCTAAAATTCCATTTGACAAAGTGAAAATAGATAGACGGACTCCTGCAGCATCTGCCCACCATTTGTCATGGACACTGGTCGTGGTATTTGCATCGATTGATGCAATCGCCACGCAACTGTAACCGAAATCGCGACGCCCTTTCCAACAATGCAACCTAATTTAATATTAATTAAATTCGAGTTTTGCGTCACAATTAAAAATTTGAGTTACTAATAAGTCGATCAAAAAATTATATTATTTTAATACCATACAGAGAATGCTATAATAATGTCACAAAAATGTTGATAAATTTGCAAATATATAAAGTGCACAGAAAACCATGTATTTTTTTAATTATAAACTCTAAAAATAAAGATGTGTGTGGTTTTAATTTAATTAACTGATTCGTTGAACAAATAAAATGCAAAATTCGCAAGCTGAATATAATGTACGATTCGTCATAGGACGACAAAAAAGGATCATCTGCTTGAAGCTATTAGAGCTAACTTATGATTCAAACTGCATTAGCTATATACAAAAACTCAAACATACCAGATACGCTGAAGTGGCGCGCAATGATATTACTCTCAGAAATTAATATGACGACATAAATGTATCTTATCTCATGCAGAGATAAATATTTATATATACATGCGACCACAGACACCATTGTAATTGTAGAATTTGCATTGTTCAAATATTTTATCAATGCGTGACGTCGAGTACGTTCTCTCTTAAGCAACGTAGGATAATCCGCTTATTAAGAGCGAAGTGTCTCATGGCTCTTTATTCTGAGTCATGAGACGCTTGTCGCCAACAAAACAACAGATAAGAATATTAGCGGCTGTTAAACAACCTATACATATCTGTTTAACTACCGCGTGCAATCATTTGTTATTGTTCGACTTTAGCCGGTTTGAAAGCGATATACCAAACAGATTGCGACAAATGGGTCTCGAATACAAGTGTTACCTTTGTAACATACTTTTAAGCGAAAAAAGTACGACTATTTTAATCTGAGGATTGTCGTTAATTCAGATGACACATTAAATGATTTCACTCGTATTGGAGTTTCTCGATAGCATTATTCGATATTCAGAGGTCGTCGATCTTTATCGAAACCATAAATAAAATAACTTAATATTCTTTCTCGAATATTTTTTATATTTCAAAATTGTGTCATTGACACTTCCTGTGTAGAAAGATAAAAAAAGAAGCGTTGCACCGAAATCTCGCGGATAGCAGAGAATGACGTCAAACGAAATCGATTGTTTACCGGCCTTATGACGGCGAAACTAAAACAAGCTTTGCAATCTTTGAACTTTGTACTCGATATTCACGTAGATAATCAACAACACTAATTTTACCAAATCTGTGAATTAACATTTCTTTTTTTTATTTTTACTGCGTGACGCAAAGCGCACGCGAATTACGCGTGATTTTGCAAGAATCGCACGTGACAGAATTTACATTCGACGATCAACACGAACCGCGCCATAGAATTTGCATTCGTCTTACGAATTACACTTTTTACATTATATTTTTTCCTCTTTTGTTTCCAAGGCCTGAATATA